TAAAAAAAAAAAAAAAATTCTTTGTGCTAATGAGGGAAGTTAACTAGGAGATTACAGTAATGTCTGGATACAAACTATCACAGGAACAAGAACAGAGAGGAAGAAAAGCATGCGGATGTAGCGCTTGCGCTCCCTTCAGCACATATACTAAAATTGGAGTGATACAGAGATTAGCATGGCCCCTGTGCAAGGATGACACGCAAATTCATGAAGCGTTCCATATAAAAATAAAAAAAGAATGTGGATGTAACATCACCAAGGAAAACTTTAGAAAGCAAGGTAAAAGGAAGCAAACAACTTTCTTCCCAAACAGAAACCAAAATAATCCTTGTGTCTATGTTATTTCCCTACAAGCAGATAAAGAACAAGGATGGATGAGAAAGATGTGACTCTTGTCTGGAAGTGTATTATGAGCTAAAAGAATAAACCCAGCTCATGGGGCGCCTGGGTGGCTCAGTCCTTAGGCGTCTGCCTTCGGCTCAGGTCATGATCCCAGGGTCCTGGGATCGAGCCCCTCATCGGGCTCCCTGCTCAGCAGGAAGCCTGCTTCTCCCTCTCTCACTCCCCCTGCTTGTGTTCCCTCTTTCTCTCTCTCTCTCTGTCAAAAAATAAATAAAATCTTTAAAAAAAATTAAAAATTAAAAAAATTAAATAATAAATCCAGCTCAGGTTACAAAAAGCCTCTAAGACTCTATCTATATAATAGGTATTTCATGTGTCCAATGTTAATGAATTACCATTCTAATTTATCATTTGCTTCAAAGGAAAGAAAATTTTTGCTTTCATCTCCAGAAGTTGTTTCATAAAATAGTTACTTTGAAACACGATAAAAATCTGACTCTGCCTTAAAATATTAATCACAAAGTTGTTCTGATTATTACAGAAAATGTATTTTACAAAGCAGACTATGCATAAATGGTACTATCAGTGGAAAATTAATGAATCAGCAACACATAGCAGAGCAGACAAGCTCAAAGCATATTCTCACTGCAAGCTCAAAGTTTAGTGCCTATCCTACTAATAAGAGTCAAAAGAAAGATTTATAGGGCACCTGGGTGGCTCAGTTGGTTAAGCGACTGCCTTCGGCTCAGGTCATGATCCCGGAGTCCCGGGATCGAGTCCCGCATCGGGCTCCCTGCTCAGCAGGGAGCCTGCTTCTCCCTCTGACCCTTCCCCTATCTCATGTGCTCTCTGTCTCTCTCATTCTCTCTGTCTCAAATAAATAAATACAATCTTTAAAAAAAAAAAAAAAAGAAAGATTTATATTAGATAATAAAGACTATAAAACAATACTGTTCTAATCCGAAGATGAAAAAAAAATTTTATAAATACATTTACAATAGGGGTGCCTGGGTGGCTCAGTTGGTTAAGCATCTGCCTTTGGCTCAGGTCATGATCCTGGGGTCCTGGGATTGAGCCCCATGTCAGGCTCCCCACTCAGCAGGGAGTCTACTTCTCCCTCTGACCCTCCTCCCTCTCGTGCTCTCTCTCACTCTCTCTCTCAGATAAATAAGCAAAATCTTTTTTAAAATAAATAAATAAATAAAATACATTTACAATAGCGAACTCCATTTTGGATAACATTTTTAACAACAAAAAAAAGGAATACGGAGGAATAAAGCTATCAACAGAAGTATAAAACTTATACCCTGATAACTACAAAATATCTGAAGAAAATTAAAGATGACCAAATAAATGGAAAGATATACCATGTGCTTGAACTAGAAGATTTAACATTGTTAAGATGGTAACACTCCCAAAAATGATCTCCAGATTCAATGTAATCCCTATCAAAATCCCAGCTATCATTTTCCAGAAACTGACAAGATGATCCTAAAATTCACATGGAAATGCAAGGGACCCAGAATACACAATCTTAAAAAACAAAACAAACAACACTTGGAGTACTAACACTTGAATTCAAAACTTACTACAAAGGTACAGTAATCAAGGGCATCTGGCTCAGTCAGTTAGGTATCCAACTCTTGGTTTCAGCTCAGGTCATGATCTCGGGGTCGAGATTGAGCCCTCCATCGGGCTCCGCTCTCAGTGCAGAGTCTGCTTGAGATCCTCTCCCTCTTCCTCCCCCATTTGCGCCCCCCCCCACACTCTCTCTAAAATAAATAAAATCTTTAAAAAAAAAAAAAACACAAAAAAAAGTAAAACAATCAAAACAGAATAATACAGACAGAAGGACAGACATATAAATCTATAGGCTATAACTGAGAGTACAGAAATATACCTTTACATTTATGGTCAAATGAACTTCAACAAAGGTGGTAAGACATTTGAATGGAAAAAGAACAGTCTTTTCAACAGATTGTACTTGGACAAGTAGATATCCACATGTAACACCATTAAGTTGGAGCTCTACCTCACACTTTATATACAAAATTTAACTAAAAATGGATTACACACATAAATATGAGAGCTAAAAAAATAAATATGAGCTAAAACAATAAAAATCTTAAAAGAAAGCAAAGGAACAAATCTTCATAATCTCAGAGTAATCAACTTTTTTAGATACGACACAAAAAGAAAAAACAAGAAAAAAGAAAACATAAACTGAACTTCATCCAAATTGAAATCTTTTGTGCTTTAAAGGACACCAGCAAAAAAAGTGAAAAGATAACCCACACAATGGGGAAAAATATCTGCAAACCGTGTCTGATAAGGGGATGAGTGGTATCCAGAATATTTAAAGAATTCTTACAACTCAGGGGCACCTGGGTGGCTCAGTCGTTAAGCGTCTGCCTTCAGCTCAGGTCATGGTCCCAGGGTCCTGGGATCGAGCCCCACATCGGGCTCCCTGCTCGGCGGGAAGCCTGCTTCTCCCTCTGACCCTCCCCCTGCTTGTGTTCCCTCTCTCGTTATCTCTCTGTCAAATAAATACATAAAATCTTTAAAAAAAAAGAATTCTTACAACTCAATAATAAGACATACTAATTTAAAATGTGGGCGAAGGACATTTCTCCAAGGAAGATGTGCAAATCTCCAATAAGCACATGAAAAGATTCATTAATCACTACAGAAATGCAAATTAAAAACCACATGGGTGCTACTTCACAACCACCCACCAGGACAGTATTATCAAAAAGACAGACAACAGCTACTGATGAAGATACGGAAAAACTGGAGCTCTAACACACTGCTGATGGGATGGTAAAATGATATAGCCACTCTGAAAAACCATCCTAGCAGTTCCCCTGAAAGGTTAAACTTTGAGTTACCATATATGACCCAGCAATTCCACTCCTAGGTACATGCCCAACAGAAATGAAAACATAATGTCCACACAAAAATCAGCATATGGAGGTGCCTGGACAGCTCAGTCAGTTAAGCACCCGACTCTTGATCTCAGCCCAGGTCTTGACCTCAGGATCATGAGTTCAAGCCCTACACTGGGCTCCACACTGGGCGTGAGCCTACTTAAAAAAAAAAAATCAGCACATGAACGATCCTAGCAGCATTATTCTTTTTTTTTTTTTTTTAAGATTTTATTTATTTATTTGAGACAGAGAGAATGAGAGAGAGCAAGTACATGAGAGGGGGGAGGGTCAGAGGGAGAAGTAGACTCCCTGCCGAGCAGGGAGCCCGATGCGGGACTCGATCCAGGGACTCCAGGATCATGACCTGAGCCGAAGGCAGTCGTTTAACCAACTGAGCCACCCAGGCGCCCTCCTAGCAGCATTATTCTTAACAATTAAAAAGTAGAAACAGGGGCACCTGGGTGGCTCAGTCATTAAGCGTCTGTCTTCGGCTCAGGTCATGATCCCAGGGTCCTGGGATCGAGCTCCGCGTCCGGCTCCCTGCTCTGCGGGAAGCCTGCTTCTCCCTCTCCCACTCCCCCTGCCTGTGTTCCCTCTCTCTCTGTGTTTCTGTCAAAGAAATAAATAAAATTTTTAAAAAAAAAAAAAGTAGAAACAACTGAAATGTCCATCAACTAATAAATGGATAAATAAAATGTAGTATACCCAGAATGGATGTAAAGGACATTATGCTAAGTGAAGTAAGTCAGGGGAAAAAAAAAAAAAATATATATATATATATGATTTCACTTATATGTGGAATATAAAAAAATGAACAAACAAAATAAAACAAAAAACAATGCTAAACACAGAACTGGTGGTTGCCTGAAGGGAGATGGGAGGAAGAAAGTTTAGGGGTGCGAGGGTGGCTCAGTCAGTGAAGTGTTTGCCTTTAGCTCAGGTCATGATCCCAGGGTCCTGGGATTGAGCCCTGCATCCGCTCCTTCCTCCCGCGGGGAGGCTGCTTTTCCCTCTCCCTCTGCTTGTGTTCCTTCTCTCGCTGTCAAATAAATAAATAAAATCTTAAAAAAAAAAAAAAAAAGGATAACTTAAGGCTGTATCTCTTTTGAAATGACCACCAAATGGCAAAATCGTAAAAACTTCGAGGCTACGAAGCCTCAAATTCCTAAATCCCTTTAAGAGAAAATTATATTTAATAAGATTTTATTGTGGATGTAAGTAACTTCTGGGATCTGACATCATTTAGTCATCTGGAAATAAAGACTACATTGCTTAAGAGCAACGTTGGAAAGACTCAAAAGGGATGTCATCCATTTAAAAGTACAGCAACATACTTTTTATGAAGCCTATACGATTTCAAAATGCAGCCTTTAAGAAGGAAAAAAAAAAAAAAAAGGCTGGGGTTGGGGTGGGGGGAATCTTTTCTCCTTGATAGCTATATGCAACTATTAAAAAAAAAAGTCATTATTCCCTCTTCTCTGACAACAAATACAGCCTAGAACAGTGCTTACTTTTTAACTGTGATTTCCAAAAAAGCTTCTGAGTCCTAGAACTCAAAGTAAATTTATTACCACTCAAGTGAGAAATGACAGAACCTTAGCAAGAAAATTGAGATGGAGGCTGTCAGAACTGCGGCAGTAGGCAACGATCTATAAAGGACATCAGCTTCAAAAGTGCAAATACAGTGGAGGAAAGCAGCAATAATGGGCTTTGTGAAACACAGTAAGCCACCTGAGAAAATTCCTTCCTGAGCAAGATGTTGCTCCAAGGAAAAGGACAGTGTATCATGTTGGGAGTCTTCAGTTTCAGTCCACACGTTACCTGCTGTGTTAAAAATAAATTAAGTATTAAAAAACAGACTATGGTTTTCTAGTTAGAATCAAACCAAACACTCAAATCGTTTTCTTTTGTTCTTCTCTGACATCTGACCTAGGTATCCTTTTGACCAAAGTCTGGAAAGAATCAACAGATGTGGAAAAGCAAACCCCAAATACTGTTCTTGTTAAAAATACAGCTTGCGGGCGCCTGGGTGGCTCAGTTGGTTGAGCGACTGCCTTCGGCTCAGGTCATGATCCTGGAGTCCCGGGATCGAGTCCCGCGTCGGGCTCCCTGCTCGGCGGGGAGTCTGCTTCTCCCTCTGATCCTCCCCCTCTCATGCTCTCTGTCTCCCATTCTCTCTCTCAGATAAATAAATAAATAAAAATCTTAAAAAAAAAAATACAGCTTGCAATTCAATTTGTGTCTCTATCCCACTTATGGAGCCCAATAGGTAAGCTTAGAGTATAAGTAGGAAACAGGATAATCTGAATCAATGCACCATTTAGAAAGTGCACAGGATATAGGCCTTCCACAATAAATGGCCCTATAAATGCTTCTCATGCTACAATATTTGACCAAAAGTTTAAATAAAGTGCTTAGAGTCAGTAGCTCTATTTAGACAGCGCCAAATTGTGTCAAAATGCATTAATGATAAAGAAACCTTATATTCTTCTTATATAAAATTATATTTTACAGTACTATGATGAAATAATATTAAAATCCCTCAGAGGAAAATATACCCAACTTAAATATGAAAAAGCAGTTCTTATTTTCCTTACTAATAAACTCTGAAAAATGTACATATTGGATTCTCTAAACTTCAGGCAAAATATTTTTAAGATAAACTATTTCCTCTTATTTTTACTAACCCAGTATATAACATGAAAACACTGGAAGTAATATAACATTTGAGAAGCAATCTTCTTAAAATCTAAATTAGCAAAATTAAAAGTTGAGCTAAAATTTTCAGAAATTTTACTTTTTTTTTTTTTTAGAAATTTTCCCATTTAATATACCACTGTGTAAGACTTAAAAATCAACCAAGTATCAGGAGTAAAAGCTTAAACCGACAGGGGCACCTGGGTGGCTCAGTGGGTTGAACATCCGACTCCTGATTTCAGCTCAGGTCATGATCTCAATGTCCTGGAATCAAGTCCCATGTTGGGCTCTGTGCTTAGCAAGGAGTCTACTTGTCCTTCTCTTTCTGCTCCTCCCCAACTCACTTTCTCTCTCAAATAAATAAAATCTTAAAAAAACAAAAAACCTTAAACCTGCAAACTAGATTTCTGTGAGAAGATCTAAATGAAGATCAATAGCCAAGACTCCACAGAATCAAATGCACACCAAATCCTACAGCAAAGCCAGATTAATATAACACACAGAACAAGAGAAAAATGGAAACCCACTTTTGAGGCTTGATTTACTTAAACAAGGTGATAGGGGCACCTGGATGGTTAAGTTAAGCGTCTGCCTTCAGCTCAGGTCATGATCCCAGGGTCCTGGGATCAAGCCCCATGTGGGGCTCCCTGATCAGCAGGGAACCTGCTTCTCTCTCTCCGAGTCCCCTCTCCCCTGCTTGTGCTCTCTCTCCTCTCTCTCTCTCAAATAAATAAAAATCTTAAAAAACAAAAAAAATCCCACCAAGGTGACAGATACCAGAGAATGTTAGATTTCTATTTCCTATATTATCTCCAAAAGAGATCAAAAGAAATTCTAACAAAGATGCCAAAAGAAAGATATTTTGTAGGGTATCAGGAGGTGACATTCTGTTTTCAGCCTTTCCATTAGACTCCTGGTTCAGAACCCATTTTGAGGGGGTAGGGGGAGTCTTTAGTCTATACCATCAGAAATAATGAAATGGGTCAATGGGTCTAATCATTACTAGAGCAATTTTTTTAATAAAAAGGTAACTGTTTTCATCTCAAAAGTTAAAGAGAGAGAAGGGAAAATGGAAAGAAAGTGATTTTGTTGAAAATTTAGGGGGAAAAAAGTAAATTCAGAAATGTTCAGGAAACAAAAAACAGAATTTAGGAACTGAAGTGCCAATACCATTAGCCAATACAATATTTTTTTACAACTTACTCTTAATTCTATAGAAAAGTGTTGAGACCTAGGTTAAGAAAAAGCTAGTAAATAAAATTAATTCCAATTCTTACAGCTGTACAAACACCTTTCTGTTTCCTTGGCAAATATGTAGAACACTTTACAAATCAGACTGTTCTTTTCTTATGTAAATTAGAAGAACAACCGTTCAAGTGCACATACTCCCTTAAAACTCTCTGCCAGGACTGATCTGGGTAAAAAAGTAGTCAAATGGAAAAGAAATTAAAATGCAGACAATTTATCCACATTCCTTCACTGCCCTGCTTTATTACTTTTTTTTTTTTTTTTAAGATTTTATGTATTTATTTGGCAGAGAGAGACACAGCGAGAGAGGGACCACAAGCAGAGGGAGTGGGAGAGGGAGAAGCAGGCTTCCCGATGAGCAGGGAACCCAATGCGGGGCTCGACCCCGGACCCTGGGACCATGACCTGAGCCGAAGGCAGACGCTTAACGACTGAGACACCTCAGTAGGCGGCCCTATTACTACTTTAATATACGCGCTATTCATAGGACTTCATTGAGTCTGTGAAGAGCAAGAGAAAAAATAAAACTAAAACCAGACAGTAATTGAGTAAACTAGCACTGTTACACTGCTGCCAAGTAAACCGTCTTCCTGGACTCCTCTGAATTACCTACCAAGAGAGCTCAAAAATGCTACTTGTTTTTGCTTAAACTGTCCTGACTAGCGGAGTGTAAGTTGTTTTCTGATACCCTATCATGGGCTAGTATTAATCTTGCTCACTTTTATCATTCAGCAAGCTGACCAAATAAAAATCATATTCCATTGCTTTGAAACTACATCTCTTTGATTACTAGTGAGGTGGACTACCTTTCCATATGTTCACTGGCCATTTGAAAAACTTCTTTTATTCGTTTTTTCCCAGTTTGTAGCATGTCTTCTAAAATTTATGGTACTTTTGGACACATCTAAGTCTTTAATTTTTTATACTCAACTATTTCTGTCTTTTATATTATGAATTTTGGCTTTGGTGGTCATGCTTATAAACTCCTTCATAGATTTCCTCTGGAATTTCTATGTAAGCTTTTTTTTTTAAATACTTCTCTTTTTAGCCATTTAGGGTTTATTTTGGTGGTGAGTATGAAGCAGGCATCTAATTCCCCCCAAATGTTGTACCAACATCATTTTATAAATAAATAATCCACCTTTACTACAGACTTAAAGAGTTATCTTTATCATATTATTAGCAAAATACCCATATGAATTTTATCTGTTTTGGATTCTCTATTCTTTGCCACTATGGCAACTATGGTTTAATTCTGATCCATTTTAATGTTTCGTAGGGCAAGTCCTCCTTCATGACTCTTATAGAAAAATTTCTACAATTTTCTAAATAAGTACTATCTTATAAATTTTAGAATCATTCTGTCACTTTCTACAAAAACAGAGATACTATCTTTAGTGATTACTTTGAGGAAAAAGGACAATCTTACAGTGTTACGTATTTCCATTCAAATGGCATGTTTCTCCCTTTAGTCGAATCTACTTTTATTTCCTTCAGTAGTGTTTTCATAAACACTATGCTTATTTCTACGCTCTTCTAAGTCTTGTTCCTTTGTGAAGACGTTTTCCTTTTAAACCATCTAGCTGATTAATGCTGTCCAGCAGTTATCAATAGTTTTCATATATATCTTAAATCAGACCACCTTACTCTTATTAGTATTATTTTTATTTTATCTAAATAAAATTCTATTTTATTCTAGAGGTTTTCGTTTGCTTTTTATTTTGTTTTTAATAAATGAAGAATTATTGTTTTGACCTTGGCATACACATGAAGAATACAGCAGAGAATTTTTATATACTCTAAAACCATATAAAGAAATGAAATTTTAACAAATCAAAGATCGTATTTTTTATTTTTTATTTTTTATTTTTTTAAAAGATTTTATTTATTTATTTGACAGAGAGAGACAGCGAGAGCAGGAATACAAGCAGGGGGAGTGGGAGAGGGAGAAGCAGGCTTCCTCCTGAGCAGGGAGCCTGATGTGGGACTCGATCCCAGGACCCTGGGATCATGACCTGAGCCGAAGGCAGATGCTTAACGACTGAGCCACACAGGCACCCCAAAGATCGTATTTTAATAAACATGCAATACTTCCCTATTGCATACCTCCAACTACGCTGTTTAATGTTTCATCACCTGTTCTACTATACCTATTTATTTTTTTAAATCTCAATAACCTCTGTGCCACCTCCATACTGGCCTCAGTAAATGTTAGTTTCCATCTAACCACTTGGCCCCAGCATGGACACACAACCTTCTCTTACTAGCCCACAGCAAAGCTGAGGCAGTCAATTTTCTGACGGTTCAAGTTTTAACAGAAGAGTATTAGAACACAGAATTACTCAGCTAGCTCACTAGAAAAACTAGTCCAAAGCCCACAGGCCCAAGCCAACCTCTTTACAGGGCTTTCCTGCACCGCTCCATGGATATCCCCCAGCCAAGACCACCTGCTTATCCATCATGCCATCTGCCTACTCACCACAGGGCCTATCCTCCCTCCTGTCAAAGGGCAGACTGCTGATCATGAACACTTGTCCAGCTTTATAGCTGCTTGCCTGTCCAACATTAGCACTGCTTGCCCATCTACAGAGCCTACTGCCTGCACTCTTAGCTCCAAGAATGTGCCCCTTCAGCTGCAAGGCTTGTGGCCTGATCACCCTACTACAAGACCACCCGTGAATGAATTTAGAAGAATTTAGACTCCTCAGAATTCAAGGTTTTCCAAGTCATAGCCTGCGGAGATTTGTCTCTTTCTTAGGTATGACTGATATGGCCTTCCTAATGTCATGCCCTTCAGAAGAGATCATTCTCGGGGCACCTGGCTGGCTCAGTCAGCTAAGCATCTGCCTTCAGCTTGGGTTGTGAGCTCGCGATCCTAG